TATTAGATTTACTTGTTAAAAGAAATCGTGACAAACAAAAATCATCAACATCATCAAATACAGGATATTATTTTCGTCTTCAATGGCTTGCAATTGGTCTTATTATTGATCGATTATTTTTTTATCTTTATTTTACTGCAACAGTTGTTTCCTATTTTGTCACACTTTGGCTTATACCCTATTCGCATCCGAATTTAACTATTGATATTCAAAATTTATAATTAGTTAGTTATTGAAATAAAAATTTATTTAAAAATCAATTTTCCTTTTGAGATTATCAGAGAAAAAAACGAGTTTATGTCAGATCTACTAATGAATTCTCTTATTGTAAAATCGACAAACATGAACTGTATGAAAGTGTTACTACAAAACAAAAGGCAATTCATAAGAAAAATGTAGATTCAGTTTCTTTCCTGGCAAAACAATACCTCGAAAATTTATAAAAGATAAAATAGTTCATTATTTTCCTTCGAAATATCGACTTTCTAAATTGAATTGAATGAATAAAAAGAAAATAATTAGCTCGTTAAGTATTTTTTTAAAGTGGAAAAATAACAAAATCACGATCAATCATCTTTTCATCTCAAACTAAAGATAATTCATACAATAATATATGGAGAGAATGAAAAGATATTGAGCATTGCATACATAGCACAAGAGAAAATAACAACAAACAAACAAACAAACAAACAAAAATGAAACTTTAATCACCGGTACTATAATCTTGTGTCATATAAGCAAAGAAAGAAAAGAAGAAAAAAACAGAGTTAGGGTTTTTTTTATGCAAGTTTTTGTTTTATTTATTCATTCTTTATTATCGTTTGATTCCTTGAAAAACAACTAAATCGATCGAGACATGCTCGTGTTATACTACCCGGACGTTGTTGATGAGTTTCTATTAAAGTTTCAATTTCTTTTTTCACCTAAAAAAATTAATATATATATATATATTTTATTTTATAATGAAATTTTTACTCGAGCAACAAGTGCTTCTGTTGTTACATCAGGATCATATGGAATTGGTTCGCCAAGATAAGTACTAAATAAATAAAATCTTCAGATATATATATTAATTTTTCTTAATATCTTACATCATTTTTACTGGAAACATTCCATAGATTGGCACAAGTGGTAATCGAGTTTTTTCATAAATATAACTTAAAAATCCTATATTAGAAATTTTGATTTAAAATATGATTTTATTCTATATGATCTAGTTACTCACGACGACCAAATGTCATAGCACGTACAGCTTCTCGAACATTTTTTGTAAACATTGGAATAATTGCCTTTTAAATACAAAAAAGAAATTATTTTTGTTTCGAATAAATATTTTATTTACAGTTTTAGCTTCGATTGCAACTTTTGCAAAACCACGTCTTTCCTTCCATATTAACTGATAATTATGATCACCAAAAAGTGCTTCACGAACACCACCTTCAATAAAACATATCTGAATTAATACTTCGAAAAATTTTTTTTTAAATTACCAGGTGAAACAGCAAGTACGTGACCTTCTTCGAGCATTGATTTACACATAGCTGATGTTGATGGTTGAATTTCTAATGCTTCAAGAAGTGTACCAAGACCTAAGAAAATAAATTTCATTATTAAAATATAACTTTTTTTGTCTATGAAAATATACCGGGTATTTTAAATACAAATTTATCAGCAACAACACGTACACGTCGATTTCGATAAAGCCAAATTTTAGCAAATAAATAATAGAAATCAATAGGTAATGCACCATGATAGAAAACAATTAGAACTGGACCTTCAGTTGGAATATGTTCTAATCCTTCAACTTCATAGCCTAGAAATAAAGAGAAAAAAATTATGATAAATCACATCATTTTCATAGTGTTGTTATTCTTTTTTTTCTTATTAGTGAAACAATAACAAATCATTGTCAATTCGAAAATAATATATTTTGTCTTACCATGCCATATATTTCCTTGTAATTCCCATAGAATAGCCAATGTTTTTAATGCTCCATACCAGAGATCATCTGAATAAGCTGCCTATTAAGTAATATGAAAAGAGAAACCAACATTATTTAATTATGTATTAATAGAAAAAAACTCACCTACTTTTAACCGATTCCAATGTTTGTAGATCAGACAAAATAATGATGAACCATAAATAAATAAAAGTATAGTTGCTGGCAAAAGAAATAATGATAATAATAAAAGACATAACGGTTTAAATAAAGCCCATAACCATGTCAAATAGATTAAATCGAGATTTGAACGTTCAAGATATGTTAATAAATAATAAATAGCTTGATTAAATACCATAATTAGTGTTTTTTTTCTATTTTTCAAAAAATGAGATAAAAAAATTGATTGTTATCTACGCCGGCACTTGCCGGCTTTGAACGAAAAATAAAAATAAACAAATAAATAAATAGATTAAAAATCTAAAACTTTAAAATATATTTAATTGATAAATTTTTTCTAGTATTCAATATATTTTATTGATATATATATAATAGAACCAAATAGAAATTTCTCAATCGATATAATTTAAATGTACATGTGTAACTTGTTTTTCGTTATATAAGTATCTACTCAATCATATTAAATGACATACCAAAAATAAGACAGATGACCGGAAAAAAGCAGATTTATACAATAATTTTAGCTCATTACTCATAGAATCTGACATATGTCTAAAACCATTCTAATAGACTATTAACTGTACTTATAGGATACATTTAAGATCCATTGTATCTCCATATAACGACATATGTTACGCATATGCAACATGTCCAATTAGTTGCGTTCGAAATATATACATTAGATATGTATGTAATAATTTCGTCAAAATACAGTCTCAATCTTTACTTTATTAATATATTTAAATCAAATTCTCTTTCAGGACTATGAATATCATAAATTCATTTTCTTAAAATAAAACTGTAGGATTCTATAGAAGGAAAAAAACTATTATATTTTCTCAAAATACAAATCCTTTGAAAGAAATACATTAAAAAAAAGAATAGAAAGAATAAATAGATATATTTATTAATAAACATTTATACACCGGACAGTATGACCAAGAAAAAAAAACAAAAAACAAAGAAAAATCAATCTGGAAACATCTGATCACGTAAAGAAAACAACAAAACAATAAAAGCAAATATCACGAATATAATTCATTACTTTTTATTTATTTATTAGAATCATTTCTCTTATTCGATTCATTATCCAATCGTTTCACTTTTTGCATTGCTGCATTTATACGAAAATGAAGACGAGATTCAAGTTGATACTCCTTACATTCACTATTCAAAAAAATAAATAAATAAAATTTTTCAAATATCGTTTAAATTTTTCACTTACATCGCTTTTTGTAAATATTCATTAGCTTTTTGTTTTTGTTTTAATTCAATATATACCATTGCCTTTTCTAATAAAGCATTTGCTGTTAATAAAGATTTTTCATCAAATTCTTTTGACCTAAAAAAAGAAAAATATTTATCGATAAAATTCTTTTGCTACGACATACATATTAATTATTTCATCCAATGCTTGATGTGCTTCATCATATCTATGAAGAAAACAATGAAGAACACCACGAAGTAATAGACCGGAACCATAACTATCAGCATAAAATTGATCATCTATTAAGAAGAAGAAAATAAATTCTTTCAAATAGAAAGCTCGAAAGCATTACTTTGATGATTCACTTCTAAATCTTTTATTGCATTATTAACAATATCGAGGGTTTTCTGTAATTTATTTTGATCATGAACAAGAATATAAAAACCATTCATAAGATAAACTAATTCCTAAGATGTAAAAGAAAAATAAATTTTTAAATTTTTATAAAAATTTTCCATAAGAGAATTATTTTTAAATAAAAATCTTATCTAGATGTCCTTATTTACCAATGCTGGTAGAAAGAGCCATTTTTGTGCAAGAAAATGTTCACATTGTTTTATTGCATATTTTTCCAATGGAATTGATTTACCCGCAAGACGAATTTTTAATTCTGGTACACGTCTAAAATAATTTTCTATTAATAAAACAAAATCAATTCAATACGTGATTCGTTTTCGTACTTATATAATTGACTAATTTCATCAGTCGCAATTCCATTATTATATTCAAATTGAAATGTTGCTAGAAGATAACATGATGTTGCTTTACTCCAATTATTTTCTTTAAGAAGAATTTCAGCCATCGTTGCCGCCTGTTTCCATTCAAGTTGAAGTCTATAGAAAAATAAATAATATCAAAGATTATTTTTTGTTAAATGTGTAATTACACATGGCACCAAAGTATTTCCCAATATGCAATCTATAAATATCAAAATTTATTTTTATTAAATTATTATATAAAAATCTTACATGATGAAGATTTTTCCAATCACTTTGACAACGAATTGCATATTCATAAGTTTGAATTGCCTAAAGACAATAGAAAAATATACCCATCTAATTTCTTAATTTAATTTACCTCATTAAGTCGGCAATGAAGTGTTTGAAGTCTTGCACGAAAAACAAGAAATAAATATGACTAAAAATAAAAGCATATTTAAGATCAGTTTTTGTCCTTGAATAAAAGTAAATTTCAAATCCTTTCGCAAACAATCTTACTTTATATCATATTACAAAAAACAAAACCTATAATTTTCTCATAAAATATCATTGTAACAATTGATCGGATAGAATCATAAGGTAATTTGAGTATATAGGATAAGAAAAGTATTAACAGGAGTCTCCATCGAATGAATGAATGTAGTAATTTGATAGAAAAGATATTGCAAACGTAAAAAAAGAAATCAGATATTGATACCAACATTATTGAAATCTAATTCCTCTTTTCATTCGTCTTATTGTAACATGACAGAGAGATAAAAAAAAACAATTCGTATCTGCACTATGAAAACAAATGTACAAAATCAATCATTCGAAATTCACGTAAATATTAGAATACACTCCAATTTATAACTTATAGAATTATTCAAATCACGAACGTAAAAATATTTTCTTAGGATCAATATGTAATTGGTGTCAAGAATTAGGTAGTCAATTATTTACATTAAAAACGGATCAGAATGGTTTAAAAATATTATGTAGTGAAGTTTGTTTTAATCAATATCGTCGTGCTTCGTTGATAAAAAATAAAGTAAAAATTTATTTTTAGTCAATTAATTATGTAAAATCAAAATCAATAATGAATTCAACTATATATAATCATCAAGGTATAAATAGAAGAAAATTATTCCAATCATATCGTCGTTCAACATCAAAATCAAAAACTAATGGAATTTCTCGAAAATTATCTCCTTTATCATCATTACAGACGTCTACATATCATCGATCATTATCTTCAAATGACAAAACATCCGCTGATATTATAATGAATTCTAGTTTAGATATTAATCATTCTCAACATCCATTATTCACTTCGTCTTCTATTAGTCGCATGCCTTTATCTAAACATATACAATCGCAAATATTAACAAAGCGTTTATTATCGAATTATACATGCATTCTACCGACTTTCATCCCATTGCCTATTCCAATTTCTCTTTATTTTCCAATTCATTTGCCATGTGTTAAATGTCCAAATGATGTTATCAATCAAGAATGTCAAACTGAACGGCAAAATAATATTGACATATTTCCCAAGCGTCGAATGTCTGTTCAAAATATATGAAATCTTTGACTTAAATAAACTATAAGTATTGTAATTACAAAGACTAATGAAATATTCTTTTAAAGCCTCTTTCTTTTTTTTTCCTATTAATGCAAATCTCACGTATACCTAATATGAATGTCTTTCTCAAAATTAATAAAATAAAATCTTACATTTGGATTTTTGCTTAAATAATATTCAACTAATGTATGTGCTTTATTAAGATCACCATCACCATTTCCTAAAATAATAATTGTAAAAGAAAAGATTATGCAATTTTGTTCTTACCAAATATATGTGCAGCATATGTATGATAACCGAGAAGAAGTAAAGCTGCTAGTGGTGCTCGTAAACCTTTACTCATTGCACTTTTTTCAAGTTCTTTAATACCAAAATCCTAAAACCAAATTCCTTGATTTTCTTTTCTAAAATTAATTCTATTACATACTTTATCTCCGGAAAAACCAGCAAATTCTAAACATCGAATAATCCGTTGTGGTAAATTCGCAATCATCTAAATATTAAAATTATAAATTTATCATAAATATAACATTTGTTTTTTTTCATACCAAATTAAATGCTCCATTGCCCATTCGAACTCCACTATCAAAATGTTCATACGATGTTTTAGATGAAAATCTGGACGGATCATTATTTTTTGCTAATTTTCTAAACACGAATAAAAATCAAAAATCAATCAAATGTATTTATAAATAATAGCTTACACAAATAAATCATGACATTCTTTTATTTTTAATGCACCACTTATAAAATTAAATAAACCTTGATCTTGTATAAATGTTAATAAAGCTCTTATAAGTAACGCTTCAGCATAAACTAATTTTGCATGTAATTCGTCTAAAAATAAAAACAAATGCGCGAATTATCTTAATATATTCTATTCATCAATAATGTTTATATTTAATGAATACATTTCAGACGAAAGTATGGATATGTATATCTTTTAGTACAATCTTTATTGTATGTTTGATATTAGTTTTTTATTATTCTCGACAACGTTCAAAAACAATTCGAATATTATTTGATGGAAAAAATTTCAATGAAAATATGTTTAAAAATTCAAATTATATTCGAACGAAGAAAAATCTTGATCAACAAATCGAAGAATTACTTCGTTTAACACCAGTTATTCCATATGAACAAATTAAATTAAATAAATTTAATCGAATATCAATCGTACCAACAAGAAAAAAATAAATTAAATTTAGAACTTACATTCAGTCATCGTTGATTTTGTACTTAAACCAAATGATATCCATGATCGATATGATTCACTCTTTTTCGACATATTTGTTGTATGACGTAAAGCTTGAATTGATGCTTCGATATCATCCTGAAAAAAATGAAATGAAATAGTATTGAAATTAAATTATTTTAATTTTACTTGATTAAATGTCATTCCAGCTTGCATAAAACTTATTGAACTATGACATAAACTATGATATAATGATCGATTTTCTCTATTGAAGAAAAAAAATGAATAATTATGAATTTGATTCATGATTAAATATACTGTTCTTTGGTTCGTTTAAGTGCTTCATTCAAACGATTTTCAAATATAAGTTGAGTGATTTGTTCACATTCAATTAAGGATTGATTTAGATCAACACCAGATTCTTCATAAGATTTTGATGATGTTGATGATCTATTGTGAATTTAGAATGATGAAAATTAAAATATGATGATGTTTTGAAAAAACAACATACTTATTTATATGTGATTTTTGATCGTCATCATCTAAGCTTTCTAATGCATCTTCGAAAATCTAAATAAAATATTTATAGAAATAAAATGTATACATTCTATTTTCTTTTGAATTATATCACTTTAATTAACTGAAATTTAATACATGGTTAGATTTTAGTTGATATATTATAGATATAATTCAATTATTTATAGAATTTTCAAGTGACAGAAAATAACTTTTTTTTTCATTATCTGGAAAGTCCAATTATTTTATTGATGTGACCTTGTTTTTGTCTTAATTATTTCTAACACTTTATTATATAAACATATCTCCTATTTCATAACAGATGACTGTCAGATTATATTTATATCCAAACACAAAAAAAGAAAGATCTAAGCTGACGTTATTTTTTTTCCTCTTTCTTTCTTTCTTTCCTATACATTCTTATATTTCATTCTCTGTCACTAAAAAAATGTATGATAGTAAATTATTATTATTTTCATTTATATTGCTTCAACATACATGCATTCATTCGTCGTCTTCTAAAAGCATACGTTATTCTATAGCGTGTTTTTCTTCCGCATGTGCTTCAATTAGATATAAGTCATAGAATCTAGTAGACTATTTTATCTTTTTATTCCAGTGTATACCCTACGCATGACGAGTAGAGCATAATAACAGATGCATCGAAAAAAAAAACACAGAAAGAAACGATTTTGCCTGGAGGCTTGAATAGACTGGATGTCCATGTGATAAATAATATAACATTTATTTTATACAATATTTTTATATAAACTAAATAAGCAAATGGATCATTTCGATTATAAACCATATGAATTTTTTGAATCGAATGAGTCATTAAATTATGGTATTATGATATTGAATTTTTCCTTGGGTAGTCTTCGAAATTTATTAACAAAAGAACTATGGAAAAAAGCAATTATACGTGGGTGTGCTGATGGTGGTTCCAATATACTTAAGGCTTATTCAGATGAAATTAATGACAAATTTTTACCAGATTATATTAGTGGCGACTTTGATTCTATTAATGAAAACACTTTCGAATATTATAAATCAATATCGAATATTGATTTTATTGAAACATCTGATCAAAATGCAACAGATTTTACAAAATGTGTTCGTGTTATGATGAAGAAAAATTCAACAATAACAAATCTCTTAGTTTTCTGCTCATTAGGCGGTCGATTTGATCATACAGCAAGTATAATACATTCATTATATATACTCAATGATAATTATCCTAATCTACAAATTTATTTAATTACTGATTATGATATTAGTTTTTTATTACATTCAACTAAACTTAATAGAATATCTATTCAATCGAAATATAATGGTA